TAATAATAATAATAATAATAATAATAATAATAATAATAATAATAATAATAATAGTAATACATGCACCTGCATTTACATAACCAATATTCATGCTCTACTTACTCAGCATGCGTTGTGTGTTTTACAACTATCGTAATCGAATGGTTTAAGTTACCATATTTGGGAAAAGAAACACACATAGATCTGCGGCAGATCCAGGGCCCAGAGCTTACTGTTCATTCAGTCATCAATTTATTCCTGTAACAAGACTCATCGCCCAACGGGGAGACAATATGGCAATGTGCTAGTCCAAGGTCCCACAATGCCACTAACAGGATTTGCATCAACACCTTAGATGTACACTGTAGTTTAAAAGGAGGTAACTCTATGATCAACACCAAAGTGCGTCCAGCTTTCTCCCCTCCCTCCCCTGCACACACGATACATGTATTCGAACATGACATCATGAAATGTGAACTTCTTGTAGGTGCCATCCGCCATCAATGTTGGCAGTTGTTTTTCTTCTTTTGCTTTTCCTGCTTTCTTTTCCGTTTTTAAAAAATAGGATTATGTCGATAGTTCGTCAGTGTTATAGCCAAGCACGTCTGTTTGAATGCCTGCTATAAAAGAAATTTTAACGTTCTTAGATCGGACAATACGGTTTATTATTGTAAGCCTGCTACAGGCTAGCTAAAATCCTGTTATAAGCGAGCCTGTAACAAATGAGGCGCTCTTTAACACATGAAGTAAGGAAGACATAAATCGGTTACATTCTGTTTTAGACCCAACTAATCAATTGCGTGTGCTTTAAACTAGCACAGTAAGACATAGAATTCTTTTATTACTCTCTTATAGGCGACCTCTATTATAATAATAGTGTCAATAGTTTCTGTCTAGCTGGGACAAAACCCTGAAGGCGAACACATTTCAAATTCTGACCAGGTGTAGATTTATGTCTTTCCTACTTGCCAAATGACAAAAGAGGGTTTCCACTGCAGGTAAATGTTGTCGTTTTGATCATTAATATGATTAAATTCTTTCCTTCAATTCGGACAAACAAACAAAGCAAACTTAAAACAAACAAGAAAAAAGGAATAGCTTTCACATTCGGGCCTGGCATATCGATTTTGACTGCTCAAAGCCGAAAAGAAATATCCACCTCTGAAATCACGCAACCAGGATTTGCCTATATAGGATGGAGTGCTTATAAGCTAC